TCGATACTGTTACTGTCAGTATTTTTTTTTTTTCCTTTTTGTCTTTTTTCGTGTCCGGCAACGGATCGCAACCCTCAGTGTCGCGCCCGTACCGGACCGGGACCGGCAACGGGATCGCAACCCTCGGTGCTGCGCCCGCACCTCACTCAGCCAGTGAACGGGAACCGGTCTGTATGTGGGATCCAAACCCTCGGCGGGAGCGCCGCCGCACTCCCAAGCGGCGCACTGTAGCAGTGCGCTACCGGGCCGGCCCATACTGTCAGTATTTTTAATAACAGCCATTCTGATATATGTGTGTAGTGTAATCTCATAGTGGTGATACTTTGCATCTCCCTAATGATTAATGGTGTTGAACAGCTTTTCATGTGTTTATTGGTCATTTGCATATCTTTAGTGAAATATCTATTTGTACATTTTGCCCAATTTTTTATTTGGGTAGTTCGTTGTCTTATTGAGTTGTAAGAGAATTTATATATTTTGGTTATATGTTCTTTATTAGATATATGATTTGCAAAGATTTTCTGCCATTATATGACTTGCCTTTTCATTTTCTTAATGAAGAGCAAAGGTTTTTAATTTTGATGAATTGTTATAGATTTTTTTTCTTGTATGGATTCTGCTTTTAGTATCTTGTTTAAGAGATCTTTGCCTAATCCAAGGTCACAATGATTTTCTTCTTTGTTTTCTTTTTGAGCAAGAGTCAGCAAACTATAGCCAGAGGACCCCATCTGGCCCACATCCTGTTTTTATAAATAAGATTTTATTGGAACATAGCCATGTCCATTGCTATAGAGACTCTGTGGCCCAGAAAACCTAAAATAGTTACTTTATGGCTTCTTTCGAAAGATTTTTGTTGACCCCTGTTCTAGAAGTGTTATAGTTTTATTTTTTAGTTCTAGGATTCAGTTTTAGTTAATTTTTGTGTATGGTTTGAAGCAAAGGTCTAAGTTCATTTTTTTTGTGTATAGATATGCAATTGTCCCAATTCCCTTTGTTAAAAAGTCTATGCTGTATGTAATAAGTCATTTTCTTTGTGCTTTTTTCAAGATTTTCTCCTTGTCTTTGGTTTTCAGCAGTTTGATTATGGTGTATCTAGATGAAGATCTCTTTGTGCTTATCCTATTTTGGATTTGTTGAACTTCTCGGATCTATAGATTAATGTTTTTCATAAAACGTGGAAAGTTTTCAGCTACTATTTCTTCTAATATTTTTATTGTCTTCTTTCTGGGACTCGTATTACATGTATGCTGGCATGCTTGATGTTTATAAGTTTCCAATGCTCTGTTCATTTTTCTTCAATTTTACTTTTTTCTATTCTGAGTGGATAATTTCTTTATTTTGTGTAATTTCACAGATTCTTTCTTATGTAATATCACATCTGCTCTTCAGACCATCTAGTGAATTTTTCATTTCAGATAGTCTACTTTTCAGTTCTAAAATTTCCACTTGGGGGCCAGCCCGGTGGCGCACTGGATAGTGCGCCGCTTGGGAAGCACGGCAGCACTCCCGCCCGAGGGTTCGGATCCCACATACAGACCGGTTCCCGCTCACTGGCTGAGCGAGGCGCGGGAGCAACACCGAGGGTTGCAATCCCATTGCCGGTCCCCGGTCCAGTACGGGGGCAACACTGAGGGTTGCGATCCGTTGCCGGACACGGAAAAAAGACAAAAGACAAAAAATAAAAAAATAAAAAAATAAAATAAAATAAAATAAAATTTCCACTTGGTTCTTTTTAATAGTTTGCATTTCGTTGTCGATATTTCCTATTTGTTTAGTTATGTCATTGTGTGTGTGTGTGTATTTATTTTTAGTTAAGTATGCCTTCTTTTAATTCTTTGAATATACTTATAATAACTGTTTAATATCTGGTCTTACTCAGAAACAGCTTCTGCTGGCTACTTACCTCCACACCCCCCGAGTATGGGTCATAGATTGCTGTTTCTGTGATGGCTTAGAATTTTTTCTTGGAACTGAGCATTTTACATAGTAAATTATAGCAACTGTGGAGTCTGATTTTATTCATTTTTTTTCCCTGCAGGTTTTATGTATAATGTATGTATTTAGTAACTTGCATGGATTTCAGCTGCAGAATTTGTCTTCCACACCATGTATGGCTACTGATGCATCTCCTCAGCTTTTATTTTTATTTTTTAGCTTGGCTTTCTAGGGTTTACCTGTGATTGGATAGCTTAGTATTTAGCAGATGATTGGTTGGAGATTGTGCCTGAACACTTTGAGCTAGTAAAGCTTTCATCTTCTGCTGGTAGATTGTTTGTGCTTTGGGGAACACATTCAAAGTTCAGTCTGTTTTCATGTTTGACTCTTTTACTTTCTGTTGGGTTGTCTGAGGTTTCCTTGTGAGGATTTCTGTCAGTCAGGGATATGTGGAGAGTTTGGTCTTTCTCAAGTATCCAGTTTTCTCTGTGCATACTCTCATTCTCCCAATTAGCTGGCATTTTGTGGGGGGCTTGAGACCTTATGATTCTCCCCTGCATGTGTGTGCAAGCCTCTTGGTCAGCCAGGGGTGTGTGGAGGGCATAGGCCTTTTCCTCAGGATATGTAGAGAATCTAGCAAGTCTCTCTCTGGCTCTCCCATTTCTAGGATCTCCCTTTAAAATTTGTAGGTAGTCATCAGGTTTGTGGCTTGCCCCAATTGGTATAGCAATCTCAAGCTAAGAGTGCTACAAGCTTTTCTGTTACCCACTGCATGAGGTTTTCTGCTCTTTGCTCCAAATCAAAGTCATTTCCCTTTGGCTATGAAGGTGCTGGCTTTCACAGCCATCTCTCATGTTCATGGAAACTCTGTGTCAGGGGAGCTGGGGTAGGGGGATGGAAGCAACCCTTGGTAAGATGCCTGACTTCTACCATTGTTACCAAGAAGTTCTGTTATTTTTCATGAATAAATTCCCCTCATTGTGTTTTTTTTTTTTGACCTTTGGTTGATGTTCAGAGCACAATAATGGTTGTTTTTGAAAGTTTCATCCAGTTATATAATTGTTTTTTGAAGGGGTAAGATTTTGTAATCCTTCATGGAAAGTCCAACTTCAGAACATGGTTAAACATAGGAATATTATATTTCAAAGCCAAATGTTCTTTTCTCTAATTCATGCTTCTTTGTTTATGGGGATAGAGACAGGTGATTTTTTTTTTTTAAAGAGGGATGACAAAGAGTGGGGAATGGGTGAGCCTTGATTCAAGTCTTAGGTTTGCACGGAGGGTAAGACTTTTACCTCTGTATGGATTTGCAAGCTCAAACTGAGGTTAATTGAGGGTTTTAGTGTGGTTTATGGAGAGTAGATGTGTTCTTTCTTCAGAGTGAGCCAACAATTGTTGACAAAATATCTTTCCTGTAGTTTTCTTTGCTTGATAATAATTTTTTGAAATAGGTATTGTAATTATGATTATTTTACAGATAAGGAGGTAAATTCTCAGGTTGGGAACTTACCAATACTTTCAACATTTGAATGTGGTGGGGATGGTACTTGAACCCATTTTTTCTGGCTTCTCCTTGTTCTTTATATTCTATATAACTGCTTCCCTACCATATAATAATTACTTGCAGACTCTTTGATGATCTCAGTGTATTTATTTATGTAGGTAGTAGTTGAAGTTAGAATAATTCATAACAATCTTCCTAAATTTTTACTAGGAGCTAAAATTCTTTTCTTTCAATTGATAATCACTCTTAACTAATTGAAGAGCCCCTATTCATTCAGGCAGTTTTTTAGCAAACTGGTAAGAGTCAGAGAAAGAGATATTCCATGGCAGCTTCCTCTGCCAGCTTCCTTTTTTTTTCTTACTCCATAGATGCAGATTCTGCCCAAGAAGCCCCTGCATTGCAGAGGGACTGGAGATCTGTATGATCTGTTTATTTCGCAATTGACAAGGGTAAGGGGGCCTTTATGGGGGAGGCGCTTGGGTTCCCTGGACTTAGTTTTATGCAGCTGGGCTAACATTTATTTTGGGATTACTTAAATTTAGCATTTAAAGAAACCCTTTTATGAATTCTATCTGTCCTACATCAGTTAAGTTCAGACTATCATATCAAAAAGCATTTATTATAATGGTTATTTTTTTTTTTTTAAGCCCGGTTCAGAACAAGTCAGACAAACATGATTCATGCTACTAAAATTCCAAATCTGGGATCATTTAGAATATAAATAATATTGAATATATGTAAGTAAAATTTCACTACAATAAAAATTTTAAAAAGGTTTTGGATAAACATCTATTTCTGTAGCACGTCATAGTTATTCTTTATTAATCTGCTTTGTTTCTTTTCCATAAATCTGCTGATCTGTAGAGTGTGAAAGGGACTTGGAAATGCCTAAACATTGTGGGTGGGTGTGGTGTGTTTTTCTTGCTGCTAGAAATTAATACCTACTTCCTTGAATTCTTTGTCTACCCCAGATGCCAATGAGATTTTGAGGTGTGTCTTCAGACTGTCTTGTATCTGATCATTAGGATAGGCATAAAAGTGCAGTTGGTGACACTTATGGGAGACGAGATAAGTTTTGTAGGTCTCATTTGGCAGGTTTATAGAACAAGTGCCAGAAATGGTGGTATTTATAATAGGATAGTATTAAAATAGCTAAGGAAGAGTTTAATGCTCTATTAAAATTGCAGGAGGATTGGGCAGATGATTGTAGCCTTGACGGGTAGTTGAGAAGGTTTGAGTTGATGATGGTCTGATGGGCTTATTTTTATTTTTGAAGGTATTATCATACCTAGGAATAAAATAGATTTGTTTACTGAAAGAAGTAGTGTACATTTCTGTAATTAAAAATGCTATTTTTAGTATTCTGTACTACTCATATTTTCAGATCGTCCTCTTTAAACATTTAATTTATAGATTTTAATAATTCAACAATGATATTATGTATGTTATCCTTACCACTATTAATAAATATTCCACTTTCTAGTGCCAACACATTTAGGAAACTATTTTTATTCTTAAACATCTTAAATGACTTTTTTTCTGTTTTTTTTTTTTTTTAAAGCCATAAGGATGAGTTTACCATTATTCCTGTACTGGTTGGAGCTCTGAGTGAGTCAAAAGAACAGGAATTCGGAAAACTCTTCAGTAAATATCTAGCGGATCCTAGTAATCTCTTTGTGGTTTCTTCTGATTTCTGCCATTGGGGTAAGTTCTAGATTTTAACATATCATGGTAGATATTATATACTTGTGGTTAAAAGTCTCTAAGCTCTGATTTTCAGTTCTTTATCACTTTCCTTGGAAAGTTTTACTTTTAGCAGCAATGTTTAAAAAGTGAATTAAAAAAGTCTTTTGGTCATTTATAATAGTGAATTGTGGATACATTTCCAAAGGCGACTGGTTTAATTGGATTCACACTGTGAGGGCATCCCTGCTTAGATGCTTATGTTAGTGGGAGTTAAGATCTTTTAACCCCATTTCTAGGTAGATGTGTATGGTAGATTCTCTGAAGTTAGTTTTGGTAAGTAAAACAAATGTTGTTCTTTAGAATGTAGAAGAGCACTGTGTGCTATGCCAGTCCTTTTCCACATTTCCTTTTTTGTAATTAGTCTTTCTTTCTTTCTTTTTTCCCTTCGGTGCTTATTTTTTGCCCACAATTGCCATCAGTTTAGAGCTACACTCCAAAGATTGTAACACGTTGGCTATTAGCACTGTGGTCTTCATTGGTAATGCTTTATAAGGGTAAGGATTCTTAAGTGATTTTTATGATTATTGTGAATTAAAAGAATAAGGACACTTCACAGAGAATAGATCATAAAGGAAGTAAGACATTTCTGGATGACTCTTTTAGTAAACTTTGTTTTCACATTCTTTGGATGCAGGTTTACTTTCATTTACCTATTACTGCCTCAGATTATTTTGAAGTTCCATTTCTTTTAGGGCGTCTCTTTGACTTAGTAAACTTTGTTTTCACATTCTTTGGATGCAGGTTTACTTTCATTTACCTATTACTGCCCCAGATTATTTTGAAGTTCCATTTCTTTTAGGGCGTCTCTTTGAGCCATTTATTTGTTAGTTTAAGGATGTCAGTATCTGTTCATTCATCAGTTATTTCTTTGACTATTAGAAAACATAAAACATAAGACCATAATTTTTAGGATAGGGTGCTAGAATGGGCAAAAATACATCCTCAATTATATGTAAGGAACCGTAGCTTTTTACATGTTGTACCCACTGATTGCCAGAATTGATGCAACATTTATCTGGCCTGGGTAGGCTGGTGTCATCTCTTGCTTCCTTTTCTGAATGGACTTCTTAAATTTGAGATCTCAGTTCAAGAGAACTGTCTTCCCTAATGGTATAGATAAGTTGTTTGTGTAAGATACTGATTCTCAAGTAGGGATGATTTTCCTCCCAGGGGGCATTTGAAAATGCATGGAGATATTTTTGATCATCACAACCGGGATGGGATTTGGAGGGTGGTGATGCTTTTGACATCTAATGAGTAGAGCCCAGGGAAGCTGCTAAATAAACATCTTGCAGAGCACGGGACAGCCCACCGCATCAAAGAATTATGTAGCCCAGAGTGTCAGTAGTGCTGAGTTTTAGGAAACCCAGATTTAGGATGTACAGGCAGCTGTGCCTCTTTTCCAAACCCCTGAAGAAACCCTCAGGGTTCTTTAATAACTGATTCTGTTGGCTAGTTGGTAGAAATTATTTTTTATGCCTGTAAGTATCTGAAGGCTAGGTAGATGCTTAAAAAGAGTTTCCTTCTTGGGAATTAAAAAATTTATTAATAATTGATCTTAAAAGCTAAGGAGTATCATTACTGGAAAAAGGGCTATTTTTCTTAGTATTGTGAATTTATGTTTATAACAAAGCATGTCCTTATGTTTTATTTTAATTTTATGAAATTAAAATTCTTGAAGCTGGTTCCCTGTCCGCCTTCATTTTTAAGGCTGTTATACATCACATGATATAAATAATTAGTTACCATGATATTGTTCTTCAGAACCTGGGCTCCTCCTCTAGGTTGGCAGCATATGAAACCACAACATAAATCCATATAAAACATCTGTAAACACCTTACTGTTGTTCTTTTCTGTGGAATCATCCTTTTTACCTCATTGATAAAGAATTTTAAAGGAAACAAACCCTAGTCCACTACTATAGTTAACTACAGTGGATGAGAGAGAAGATAAATTTTGTTTTATATTATACCTACATTCTCAGGAAATTTTTAGGCCATTTGTTGCCTGATTTCTTAGAGATTTTGGTATTTAAATTGTAAGATAGGATTTCTAGGTGATAATTATAAAAAAGAACCCAAAACTTCCAAAGGTTTTTAAATGATAGCTTATGAGAATTATCCAGAGACTAAAATATTTGTATTTACATTTGCTGGTTAAGTAATAGAACTTTTCCAAGCCTTCATTTTTTAGTATCATTTTCACTAACAGGACTCATTAAGTATTTACTTTATACTTATGGAAAGCTTTGTGCTAATTCTTACTGAGAAATTTGATGGGGGTTTGTGGTAAGTGAAAGCTGTTACATGGATAATATTCCAAAACTGATAACCTCCTTGCTACCATAGTAATACTGTCATTCTTGTAAAGTAACTAACATTTTCTATTTTGAATGCCTTTTGAAGTAGTATGAATGGTTGGCTAGTTATGGGGTAGGCAATCTTTATTTAGGAATTAAGTTTTGTGTTTCTCAAATTTGTGCTCTAGTGGCACTGGGCATCTTTCTTAAATTAATGAGTGATAGATTATCATCTCAAAAATTAGCTTATCCTCATAAAGGTAATACTTTTGGAGGTTTTTTCTTTTTTTTTTTTTTTTAAAGATACTATACAGATTGATTTATACCATACGAAAGCAGTCATAACACTGAATTCTAAGTAATTTCACAGGAAGGATCCAATTCCTCATGTACGCAGAGACCTTAAAAGGTTCATTGAGTTACCTCTTAACACACTCCGTATTTCTAATTATAGCTTGATTTTTGAAGAAAAATCACTTAATGATTATGGTACATTTGACAAATTACTCAGATATACAGTGAAATATTGGTTTTGTTGAATAATAATAGATTAGATTACTGGCAGTGGCTGCATTTTTCATTTCTACTGATTGTTTCTCCTTGTGTTTTGTCCAGCTTTTTTGAAAAATAAAGTGGTAAGCTTGGTAATAGAGGCAGTTGGGATTCCTATATGTAAATCGGGAAGGTATTTTTCTTGTTGATCTTGTTAGCCAATGCCCATTAGAAAAATGACTTCTTTTTTAAAAATGTATTTAACTTTAAAGATGTTCATCTTTTAGATCCTACTTAGCTTTTATTTAGACTTGAAAAGAGACATTAGAGATAGACAAGTAGAAAGACTAAAATACTCTCAAGTTTTGTTTTTGGGTGAGACAAGCCAAGAGAAAGACAGGAATCTAGATTCTACTCTCCCCTTTCTTTGTGTCTCCTTTTTTGAATTCCGCAAAAGAAACCCTGCATTTCAATTCCTGCTTTTTATCTCATCATCAGTCTTAGACATATGAAAATGTATCAGTCAGTGCCATAGGATGATGTTTCTCAGATAACACTTACAATGATCCTACTTCATTCACCCTTCCAGCTAGTAGTAGGAAGTAGAATAAGTGAAAAGACACTTGCTGCTAGTGTTTGATTTTTACTGTAGTTAAGTTTTCCCCATACTTTGTGTACTTATCAAGTTCTACATCATATAGGATGGCTCTGTATGAGGAAATTTTGCCTGGACCTATTTTAATTTTTCTGATTAAAAGAATTTTTATTCTGTTTTCCAAGTTTCAGCTTTGCTCTTCTCCACTTACCCTGTTAGTCTTTGTATTTTTAGGAAATTTTGCCTGGACCTATTTTAATTTTTCTGATTAAAAGAATTTTTATTCTGTTTTCCCAAGTTTCAGCTTTGCTCTTCTCCACTTACCCTGTTAGTCTTTGTATTTTCCCGGCTTCCCTAAAATGTATATTTCCAAATTTAGATTATTGACAGCTTTCACTAATGTAGTTTTGTTAACATCTAAGAAATTTATGAATGAAATTGAATCTAACAAATTGATTTTTTAAAAGTGGAGTCATGCTTATATTTGATTTGCCTTTTCTGGTGGTTTTGCACATCATAAATTTACTTGGTAAATATTTATGATGGATTATGTTGTTTTGTTAAACTATGAATAAAGTTTACTATAGTCTCTTCAGCAATTTTGAATTTTTATCCATAAACTAGGTACACATAATTGTCTAGGTATACATAATTTCTTTCTTATAAATATGTGCCACTTACAAAAAGTGGCATTTCCCTAAATATTTATGAAATTTATGTCTTTGCTCAGATTTCTTCTTTAATATGCATTGATAAGTGATTTAGGCATACTCTTCTTCCTTTTTTGTTAGTCTCTTGGGTGTGAGGGTGTTACTGTTTTCTAAATATTTAAATTGGTTTGAGTGTAAGTTAGCAAATTTCTGAAATATATATCTTATCCAAACTTTCATATTTGTCTTCTCAGATATTTGTACATTCTGATTTTTACATTTTTGATCTTTTGCACATTTTTAAATAAGGCTAACACTTTTACATTATAACTAAGACTTCAGAATGAAAGGACAATACTATTTAACTTTTAAAAATGATTACCTTATTTGATGCTACTTAGGTAACATTTCCTTTGTGAACTACATTTTCCTTTTTTTCTTTAGTAGTAATTTGAATTATGAATGTCCTCAGTATAGGTTCTTAGTATAGAATAGCCTAAATTATCTGTCTCACAGGTAGTTGTGAGGTTTAACTCAAATATTTGAAAATGGTTTAACGTATTAAAAAATGATAAAGTAAATGTAAAACAGTACAGTTTTTATTGGATGTATATCTGAAAGTCTGTCTTATTGGGTGATCTTTTGGGGACTTTATAGATAAGCTTTCCAAGGTCACTGTTTATTTCTGCAGTCCAGTGCATAGCTTAAATGTTGAGGTATTCAAATATTTTTTACTTTTGTTTTGAGGTACTTAAAAATTAGTGTTGGTTCTTGTACCATTCATTGTTATGTTTGTCCTCATTAGTTGATTGTTGTGTGTTAAACAGACATCCCTGGAGCTTATTCTCCACACTCTGTGAATCCACTCATTAATCACCAGTCACCTTTGGAGATGGGAAAATTACTTACCTGTATTTCTTTTTCTCAGAAAGAGTGCTCTGGAATGGATTCACAAATGAGCTACCCTCCCTCCCTCAAAGAGTAAGGTTTCTGCTTTACAGGATTTTTTTCTTGGGTTATTTTTCCTCTCATCTTTTGAATTTGAAAAGAACTGAGGGAAGGCACCTGAAGAAACTACTGTCATAATCACTAGGGGAGTTCCAAAGCTTATGTTGCCCCTAGGGGCAGTTTCAATGGCTCTTAAAGCTAGAAAGCTCATACTTGGAGTTGAAACGGGGGCTCAAAGAATCCATTTTCCCAGTGTACCTTCTGAAAGGATAAATTTCAGGTAAGTAATTTTCTCTTACTATGTGATATGATCTATTCATACTTATGAAAACACTCAAGTCCAGTTCTCCAGGTACAGAGGCAACTATATTTGTTCACAGTTTAGATTCATAACCTTTACTAAATTTCAGAAATATGAAAACTTGTAAAATAAATTTGCTCATGAGATACATAAAATCATAGTTTATTTTAAATCAACAATAAATATTTAATGAAAGGTGCATTTATGATCACTGTATTGTGCTATTGCTGTCATTTCCCTTATTATTAAAGTCTTGAGAAACTTACTGTTTTTAATAGTAAGAAACAAAAAAGAGTCTTTTGAACTCAATTTCCAAGTTGTGATTGAGTAAAGTTGTATATGTGTGTGTCTGTAAATACATATATATATATATACACACACACACACACACATACATACAAGGTAGGATGATGGCATCTGTTTGTTTCAAATTAGATGCTTTCTGTATGTATGAGTATATTGACCAGAATACATTGCTGAAGTAATTATAAATTTTTAAAAGTTATCGTGAGACAGTTTGAGCTGTTATAAGTAAAATATTTATTCATCGTAGCAGCTATATGTAGTGTGGATTTAGCTTTTTAACTGATAGATTGTTTAGAGCTATTCAACTATACTCAATTTTTCAGCTACTAAATGTGATTGGTTACTAAAGAGTAACAAAAAGTAGATAGAAAAATATTAAGCAAATTGGTTTAATGTGTATTTTGTTATTCTCAGTAAATCACATGTTGATTCAGTATTTTAAAGTATTTCAAATATTCCATGTACTTTTTCTTCAGAAGCAGGTTTAAGTGAGATTCACATAGAAAATGTAGTTACATTTTTCACTTACTATTAAGGTAGAGTTGACCAACTTCAGCCATTTGAAACAACAGCTCTGAAATTGGAAGTAAGCAGAAAAGATTTTTGTGTAGCAAATGGTTATCACAAAGTACATGCATTTTTCTCTGCACCTGGGAATAGCAGTCTTTTATGTCCCAGCAACAAGGCTTATTGTCAGTAGCTAAAACTAACAGTTGTTTCCAGAAGCAAGGAAAAGAGAATGTATTAGTATAAACCTGGAGTATTTCAGGTTCAAAGAACCAAAGTATATATTACCTTGATTTCTTCCAAGGATATTATTCTTATTATAGCAACAGTGAGTCAGAATTTTCTTGATTAAGGCATTTATTTAATTGTTAATTTGTTTCACAAAAGATTTTGGGTAGCTTTATTAAAAGAACTTTGAAATAGAAGTGAAAATTTAGTACCCTTGAATTGAATCAGTAAGTTACTATGTCTGAACTTTAGATTTGGCTTAGAGCAGCCTTCTGAGAGCCACCTGGCAAGTGGGAAAAATAGAGTCAATTATATAGTTCTCATTATTAGGTATGTATGAACTATATACATTTTTTTTAAAGAAAAAGAAAGTATACCTAACTCTAAATTTTGAAGGAAATGTCTGGTGAATTATTTAATATAAGAGGCATTGAGTGATAAATTATTATGTTATCCTTAAGCATTTTTTTAGTTCAAGGACTGTAGTAGATCTCATAACTATGGCAACATGCAGTAATCTTCATTGTTATATTCAGAAAGCAGATATTATTTCAGATCCCATTGCTTGGTTCTAGGGTATCATTAGTTATAAGATGCATACTGATTTAATAATGGCTCTTGGGGGAAGATAAGGACTACACATTGAGTAATTGTATGTGTTAATGTATGTGAACAGTTAAAATGTAAGAATTGGACTTGGTTAGCTCATCTGGTTAGAGTGTGGCCTTATAACACCAAGGTCAAGGGTGTGGTTCCCCGTACCAGCCAGGTGTATCCCCCTCTCCCCCCGACCCCAATGTGAGAATTAAGGAAATATGGTATATTTTAGAAAGGTGACCATCAAAGATGATCAGCATCAACAAATGAATGAAGTGTTACGTTCTGTGATGTGTGGTTTTCCCAAGGAAAGGACATTAAAGAGGGTTTTATAATTTTGCACTTCTCATTATTTATAAGATAATTTTTCATAAGATGAACAGAAAACTAAAAATCATCATTATCCAGCCAAAGAAAAACATCTCTTCAGATGTGAACATAACACTTGGCTATATTAGCATTGCTTTAAACATGAAGCACAAGACACATAATGTGTGTACGTGATTAGTACTGTCTAATCCCTTTAGAAATGCATTTTGGTGGATCTTTAAGGAAATATAAAAGTAATGAGTTCATAGGAAAAAAGGCATTGCTAAAAGATTTTGGTATATCTGAAATATGTAGTCATTTGAATAACAATCCATAATTAGTTATGGATATATTTAACTTTTGATTTTCATGTGACTGCAGTAGGAAACAATTTATTTTCTGAACCTTTTGTTTTCTGTCTTCTTTTTAAGCTTTTTCCATTTTACTCTCTTTGTTCTTTGGAGAACAGCTACGCTTTGAATGTTCTGTGCTTATACTCTTATTTTGTGCCAGGGCAGGACTATTTATTATATTTATCCTTTTGTGTGTCCTATTCACATCACATAAGGCACTTGTATTGATCCTTTTCCAAGTAGTGTGAAAATGAAATAAATTTTTTTATCGAGGTCATAAAAATCACACAAGCATCTCTGATCTACACATTTTTTTTTTCTGTAATAGAGGTCAAATCTTTGCATTTGTACAGCAAAAGCTAAGCTTTCATTGTTTTGTTACACTGAGCTAGCTTTCTTAAGCCAAATATTCTTGAATCATATTCTTTGGGTTTACTTTCTGTTATAGACTGATAAAATGTTTAACAATGCTTCTAACTTATAAGCTGTTTTGTTTCCTTAATTTTGTATTGCTGGTGACTTTAAGGTTCCTACAGTTCATAATAGTTTTTAACATCATAAAACACTGGTGATATATCATTTCTTTATTACCTTCCCAAATATGCCTTTTATTTTTATGTATGAGGGCTCTTGGGAATGATTCTCTCAGAGGCTTAAGCTGTGCTTTGCCTTTCATGAGAACTGAAATTATTTGGTAAGCGCTTGCTTTCTTTTTAGCTTCTAATTTTTCCCTATTTTATTTTGTACATGATATTTGTTTCAAGGTCAAAGGTTCCGTTACAGTTACTATGATGAATCCCAGGGGGAGATTTATAGATCCATTGAACATCTAGATAAAATGGTAAGTCTTTCAGGTGTGGGGTTTTAATGCTCTAAGGCTTTTTCTTTAATTTCAGATTAGTGATTCAAGACTTAATATGTTGAAATATACAATGGCCTAGTAATTCTTTCCCTATCTTTAATTAAACATACAAAATGCAATTTGTCATCATCTGAATATTGACTATAAGAATAATCCCTGTTCTACTAGTAGAAATTTCCTTCATCATAATTTTATTTGGTTAATGAGACTCTTTAAGAATAATTAGATATTGATTTTAAATTCTTCTCGGAGAAGTATCTTTGCTTTAGGGACAAGAGGATACTAATGCCATTACTTACTGTTAAACAGTAACAACCGTAGCAGATTATGGGATACCTTGACTTGACTCTTAATTCCTATTCGTTTGATGGCTACCTGTAGTATTTCTTTTGACTCTTTCTGAACTATTGTTGTTTCTTACAACTTATTAAATAACTTAGTATATTTTTAGATTTGATAGAAGGCCAAACTACTGTTCTTGAGTGATGCTTAAGATTTTTTTGAATTAGCTAATTTTCAGAGTTGTGCTCTGTGGGAGAAAATATATGTAGACTTGAAGTGTAAATAACCTAAAATTTTAAAATGTTTGCTTGAAAGTCTTTATTTTGTCAATTATAAACTTTCCCTTCTGGAAATAATATCATAGTCTTATGATGACAGTATGCAGGAATTCCGGTATACATAAAATTTAGCTAACTTAAATTTTGTCCATTATGCTAAAGGGATTTATACAAACACTTTATTTTGTTTTATTTTAAGTTTTGATATTTCAGACATGTTTATTTTGAAATTATTTTGACGGTTTTCTTCACATTTTTCAGAACTTCTCAAACTTACATTTAGTGAGATTAATAATTTTAAACATAATAAATTTGCACCATTGATGTATTTCTGTAAAATCTCCTGTAAATCAAATTGTTATATATCGTATTGTATTTTTGTTTTGATTTTAATTTCTCTTTGATTTGAAGCATATTAACTAAGTCTTGAGCTGTATGTTTCTATCTTCTGCAGCCTTTAAGTGTCTATTAAATAGACCTATTAAAAAAGATTAAGAAAACAAAATTACTTTTATAAATGCAAACAATTTTTCTCTCTCCTCTTGTCATTTGTTCTTCCTAAAAATTCTTAGTTTTTTCTTTTTTGGCCATTTGAATTTTTCTTAAATAGTATTTCAATTTGTTGTTTTAAACATAGAATTTAGAAATATAATTATATTTTATCTACCCTAAAAGTACAATAGATATTGATCCTACGGTCATTTTTTTCATGAAGTAATATGGTAGTCATAGTACTTGTTTTAATATTTAAAAAGTCACATAAATAATTTTGGTATTAAGTATAGCAGAACTGTCACTAACTTGCTCTGTGACCTCTGACAGATCATTTAAATTCTGTAGTCTTCCCTTCCTCATCTATAAGAAGAGAGACTTGGGCCAGTTGGTCTCTAAATTGTCTTGAAATTGTGTCAGTCTATAAGTCTGTGATAAGTTCAAATCAATTTTACCATTGTGCAAAGCTTTATGCATATATTTTAATCTAAAGTAGATAAAATATTTTGGTAAGGAATCTGGATCTGAACCTATAGATGGAATATGTCATACAGTGTATTTTATTAATGCCAAATGTAATGAATGTAAATTCAGTTTCTTAGGATATTTAATCATATTTAAATTTATCTTAATTGTTAACTTAAATCCAACTATTTTCTAATACTTTTAGAATTTTGTTTGGATTTTAATTTATTGACTCTTCTTTTGGTTTTGGCTGTTGTCATTTTAGTTGATTTAAGTCCTTTTTGGTTTCTGGATCTGTCTTATTATTATGAGGTTTAGTTCTCAGTTGCCTCAGAAAATTTTTCTAGTTCTGTCATCATTTATTTTATTCATGTAGCAAATGGTTAATGGGTGTCTAGTATGTGTCTGGTACTGTGTGAGGTGTTGAAGATAACAAGAAGAGTAAACATGGTCCCTGACTTAATGGAATTTGTAGGTCATTGGTCAAACAGACTTACAGAGAAGCTGTTACAATATAGAGATGTGAGAGATGTTTAGGAGGTAAAATGAAAAGGACTTTAGTAACTGTTAGCTACATCATGTTAAGGAAGTGAAGAAATCTGGGATGATTTCTGGGTTCCATGCTTACATAGATGCTGTTACTCACTAATACAGAGAATGTAAGGGGTCAGGTTTAAGGAGAAAATTTTAGACATTGCTTTTGTGTTATGTTTGGAAGTGCATTTTCCAATACTGTAGCTATGAACCACATTTATTTACTGAGTACTTAAAGTGTAATGCAACTTGAGATATGATGTAAGTGTAAAATAGGTACTGGATTTCCGGTACTTATTAAAAAACCATAAAATAGCTTAAAAATAATATTTTATGTTGATTCCATTATGAAGTGATATCTTGGATTGTGTTAAAATATATTAAAATTAATTTCACTTCTTTCATTTTATTTCTTAAATATGGTTACTAGAAAACTAAAAATTATATATATGGCCTGCATTATATTTTTATTTACCAGTGCTGGTTTAGAACATGAAGATAGGTCTGGATAATTTCTTAAATATGGTTACTAGAAAACTAAAAATTATATATATGGCCTGCATTATATTTTTACTTACCAGTGCTGGTTTAGAACATGAAGATAGGTCTGGATAGATATAAACATTTTGAAATTAGTGGTGTATGAGAAGTAGATGGAAAGAAAGGTTATTAATGCCATTGTCCAGAGAGAGTAATGTCAATGTCCAGACTGAGTATATACTTGTAGAATAGGAAGAAAAGAGGAGTTAGGTCAGAGGGAAATACTGTCATTAAGCGAATGAGGAGATAATAGAAAAATAGCAAAAGAATTTTGCTTAGAGAAAACTGAGAATGGGTGATAACACAGAGAGGAGACAGCTTTAACACAGAGGGAGGGGGAGTATCAAATGCTGTGCAGAGGTGAATTAAGTTAAGAATCTTGTAAGAGCAGTTTTAGAAGAATAATTTAAGGTTAGAAGCTAAATTGAATGAAGAGGCGAAGACCAAGTGCCAAAATTCTTCTTTACCAGTTTGATTATGATAGAAAGGAGCAATAGGGGATTTTTTGAGTGTTAACTGGTTTGATGAATGAGGAGATGCAGGGAAGCACAACCAAAGGAAGAGTTTTTAAAGATGGAAACTGAGTTCACTTCGAAATTCACAGTAACATTAATCTCAAATTTTAAGTCTCAGAAAGATATGACTCTCCAAATGATATCATCTATATGATTCTCATTTCTGCCTGGTTTTTGTCCTCGTATTTTCTTTTGATTTAGGAAAGAATATCTATAAGAATAAATTGCTGGGATATGTGAAATGTAAATTATTAGTGGTATGCATGTAAATTTTTCATTAAAATTATCTTTATTTTGGTTAGCTAACCATACAGAAAATGATTTTAAAAGGTATTTCAGTACTAAAAGTTTCCAGAGTAAATAAAGTCTTCTTGGAAATGCTTTTTAGCATGTTTGCACTAAATTTTATGAAAAAGCAATGCTTTTTTTTGATGCCATGCTTTTTGCATCAAAAATAAGAATAACTTCAGCCAGGACCACTCTCTCAAACACCATACGTACCAGCTACTTGCTTGATATTTCCACCTGGATGTCTTATAGACAGTTCGAACAAAACATGCCTAAAACTGAACTCCTGATTTTCTCCCCACAAAAACCTGTTCTATTCATAGACTTTCCCAGTTCAGTTGATGGCAGCTCTATCCTTCTACTTTCCTAACTGGTTTTCTTAAACCTGCTCTTGTCTTCTTCACTCTCAAGTGGCTTAAAGTAGGAACCAAAAGGAATCTTTTTTTTTTCAAAAGGAATCTTTTTAAAACATAGATCATGTCATGCTTCTGCCCAAGTCCCCTGTAATATTTCCCCATTTCAGTCAGAATAAAAGCCTGTGTCTTTAAATGGGTGGGCTACAAGGATCTATTTCTCTCTTACCTTTACTCTTCATTCACTCTACTGTCTACACACTGGTTTCCTTATTGTTCCTCAATAATGCCACGTATGTGCCCTGCTTAGAGCTTTTGCCCTTTCTGCACTTGACAGTTTCATTCACTTACCACAAGTCTTTGCTCATCTTTCTCCTTCCCAGTGGGTCTTACTGACTACCCTATTAATTTTTCATCCTACACCCAACCCTTCTAGCATTCCCACTCCATCTTACCATGATCCACTTTTGCTTCTAACAAATTAAACTATCTACTTACTACATTTTTATCAGTCAGGATATTTGTTTTGTTCACTGATGTATCCAAAGTGCATAGAATAATGATTAGAACATAACGTAGGTGCTCAATAAATATTTTTCAAATGAGTGAATTAATGAATAGAATCTTTCTATAACAATTAAGGAATATGAATATCCTAACTGTAATATGAAAAGGAAAGTAATTAATAATAAATTAGTATATATTTAAGAATGTAAATGCTTAGATACAACTATATTAGAAGATACAGTGTAGTTAGATGCTTCTGCATAATATCATTAATATAACAGCTACAAATGCAAACTTAATATAGGTGTTTTATTTGTGATTCAAATTACTAAGTACCATGGAAAGTAATTAATAATAAATTAGTATATATTTAAGAATGTAAATGCTTAGATACAACTATAGTAGAAGATACAGTGTAGTTATATGCTTCTGCATAATATCATTAATATAACAGCTACAAATGCAAACTTAATATAGGTGTTTTATTTGTGATTCAAATTACTAAGTACCATTTCTGAGTGACTTGATTTTCCAAAATGGTGAACAATTCTGAGTAAACTTGTAAACAAAGCAAAACCACTTTAAATGATGGTTTCATTCCTGGGAAATCCACTGTATGTTAAAATCATGCAAAATGTCTCTGTTTGTATATAAAATGGAATTAAGGTGTAGATAATTAGAAGCAGGTTTTTTTTAAGTTTTATTTTATTTTTTTACCTAAATGG